TGTTAACGATTACGTTGCCTCGATTCGCCTGTGCCGCATTGATGAAGGTCTGAGTCAGATTAAGTAGAATTATAGTCAGGTAAGATATTACTAGAAAGATCTATCTTAGGAGTAGTCACAAACCTCGGCACGAGGCTTCTGCCTGAATATTGGAAGGAATACCCGCCTACCAGTTCAAAAAAATACGAAGTTCCTTATGCAATAGAAACACGCAGGACAGATACTGCAGCGCTTTTTAATTGGAGCGCGTTTCTATCCTATCGTGTTATTATGTGGTCAAAGACTGCAGAAAAAGTTTGATAAGAGGGAACAAAATTAACAAACAGTGTTTGCTAATTGGAGACCTGAGGTTCTCAAAATCGCAGAAGTTACAGCGACTTTGCCTGTTGGTCTGTTGATCCTCATAAGTTGTTTTCAAATACACTACTCCCACTACCCGTTACTCTCATACAACTATATGAGTGTGACGGCTCATATAGTTGTATGCGTGCGACGGCTGTTCGGCTGTTCATAATTAATCTCCTAAAAAACGGGACTGCGTAGAGTTAAAAGTATGTGTTTGAAATTCCCGCACATATGCTCGAAAAGCGTAAGGGTCGTTGCTAGCCTTTGAACTGTTGCTTATTTTTTTAATCTTCGCATTTTCCCGCTTACGCAGGATCTGTACGAATCAACTGTCTCCAGTATTCTCGATTTAAGGCATGATATTCGTCTATCCTAAGCTCTTTCAGGTCAGTTCTGATTCTGTTCATCCACTTCATCTTTGGTCTTCCCCGTGGCTTTTTTCCAGCGACCTACAGAGACAAGGCCATTTTTTTGGGTTCTCATCTCTTCTACTCACATGCTCGTAGCATCGCAGTCGTTTTTCCTGCATTTTCTTAACAATGGGAGCAACTTTCACTCTTCGAACTGTGTCATTACCAACATGATCTAGCAGGGTGATACCCAATGTCCATCGCAGCATTCTTGTCTCCATGACACTAAGCTTGTGTTCTTCGTTTCGTATATTGGGCCAACATTCGCTGCCATACAGCGCTGTGGGACGGATCACAGTACGGTATATTTGGGATTTGGGTTGCATTGGCATTCGCTTGTCGTACAAAACTCCTGTAAAGGCTCTCCCATCCAGGAAGCGTTTGTCCTGGCAGATATTTCATCTTGAAAACCTCCTTCGCCAGAGATGCAACTTCCTAAGTACTTGAAGGTGCTCGCTTTCTTGATTGACTTCTCATCAATGTAGATGGTTTCTGAAGTTTGACCTTCTACTTCCATTATTCTGTCTTATTTGTGTTGAGCTTTAAGCCGTACGACCCTAACTGGTCCTTCCGTCTATGTGTTTCTTCTTCATGTTTTCTGTTTTCTGCCATCAACACCACATCGTCTGCATACAGGAGAGCCCATGGAGGTTATCGCTTGAGACCTTCCGTCACTGCACATGACTGTGATAAAGAGTAGAGGAGAGAACACCGATCCCTGATGCACACCAGTCTTTATGCGGAATGCTTTTGACTGTCCTGCCGCGGTCTGCACATGGCTCGTGGCTCAATAGATCTTTATGCATTGAATGTATATATCTGGAACCATGTGCTTTTGCAGTGCCCACCATATGACGGGGTACCTTGTCGAAAGCTTACTCCATACCAAGGAAAGCCGCATGCAGCTCTCTTCGTTTTTCTTTATACTTCTCCATCACTATCCGCTATCCGTACAGTATGGATGGCGTCAGCAGCGCCGGCATTCTTTACAAATCCGCACTGCTTGGATGGCAACTCTATAATCGCTCGAAGTCGTGTTTCAAGTACTCTTTCGAAAATCTTCAGTGTGGGTGATCAGCCGGATTGGCCGATACGTTGAACAATCTGCGATAACGCCTTTATTTTTCCATGCCGGAATTGTTGTGCTCTTTGACCAATCACGGAGCATGCTCTTAGCTTTGATGACCTTGAAAAGGCCTGCAAGCCATAAGGCACCAAGGCATCCGCATTCTTCCAATATTCGCTTGG